ATCATCATCATCATCATTGGAATCATCATCATCATCATCATCCGAAGCATCGTCATCATCATCATAATCTTCCGAATCATCACCATCATTATCATATTCGTCGTCATCATAATCATCATCGTCATCAACATCGTCATGATCATCCGAATCTTCTTCATCATCCGAATCATCATCATCATCTTCACCATCATCACTAACACCGTCATTATCATCATCATCCGCATCATAGTCAATCTCAACATCATCAACACCGTCATCATCATCATCTTGCGAAGCATCATCCTCATCAACATCATCATCACCATCCGAATCAATAGCACCATCCGAATCATCATCATCATCATCATCCGAAACTTCGTCATCATCGTCGTCATCATCATCATCATCCGAATCATCGATCATCATCATCATCATCATCATCTTCCGAATCATCATCATCATCCGAATCATCATAATCTTCCGAATCATCACCATCATTATCATATTCGTCGTCATCATAATCATCATCGTCATCAACATCGTCATGATCATCCGAATCTTCTTCATCATCCGAATCATCATCATCATCTTCACCATCATCACTAACACCGTCATTATCATCATCATCCGCATCATAGTCAATCTCAACATCATCAACACCGTCATCATCATCATCTTGCGAAGCATCATCCTCATCAACATCATCATCACCATCCGAATCAATAGCACCATCCGAATCATCATCATCATCATCATCCGAAACTTCGTCATCATCGTCGTCATCATCATCATCATCCGAATCATCGACCGAATATTCATTATCATCACAATCATCATCATGAACATTGTCATCATCATCATCATCATCATCATCCACATCATCAACATCATCATCATCATCATCATCATCATCATTATCATCTGAATCACCATCATCATCATCATCCGAATCATCATCATAATCATCATCATCCTCATCCATATCATAATCATCGTCATAAACACCATCAACATAATCATCGTGATCATCAGCATCATCATCATCCGAATCATCATCATCATCCGAATCATCATCATCATCTTCAATATCATCATCAACATCGTCATTATCATCATAATCATCACCAACATCATCGTCATCATCATCAACGCCTTCAACATCATCATCATCATCCGAGTCCTCATCATCATCAAGTACATCTGCATCATCATCCGAAA